AAAAAGTCAAAGCGGGTAATTTTCCGTTTAATTGTTATTTCACTCCTTTTCAACGTTTGTCCACCTTGTAAAGGGATGGCTCAGCTTTGAGATTTTCCACCTGATTTCAGCCTTCTCGGAGTAAATCAGATGGCAAGCTGACAGCTGAAGAGGAAGAGCGTGCTAAGCAAAAGATATGTAGTATAATCGACAGTGTGTACAGTGAAACTGCCAAAAGAATGGTTTGTTCTTCCCTCTATAATTTTAGCTTGAAAATATCTGTTCCCCAAATGGTTTAACTGGGCTTCACACGATAGATGGTGATATATTATACTTACACAGTGGTGGTGCTGATCGGGTAATTATTTTTATAGGGCTGTGTTTTTCTGCTTAGTAAATTCTCATATTAAGCCCTCGTTTCTTGAGCTGCATTTGGTTCATGTCAGATGAGTTCGTGCGCTTTTCTTCATTTTTCTTTTAGTTCTCAAAAATGGGTAAGTTTGTTGATCTCATTAGTCAGCATTGTCCTTGCTCTTTCGAGCTTCAATGATAGATGATATCTACGGGCTATGCTAGCTAGAATCTTTTTTGCGCTTTCAACGCCCAGAATAATAAAGCTAATATCACGAATATCCGATAAGTTTTTATATGTATCAAACTAAGCAAAAGTTGGCAGATTCAAAGCAAAGACGAATGTCAAGTCGCTACAAGTATAATTTTTCACTGCTTGGTGGACCACAAAGTAGTATTCCACGATATGGTCGAACGTCGAAGTAGGGGAAACTTACTTAGTAGAGGAAGACGCGGACCCCCTAACGGTGCTGACCGACACGCAATTGCAGCGAAGAACATGTCCCGGCAGCCCACCGACTGGGCAGCCACGCGCCGTAGATCTCTAGCCGTCAATAGAGTTTTCATTAAACGCCTGAGAGGGCTGCCGACGAAAGTAGCATCGATGCGGAAATGAACGGGCAGGGTCCCGTTTTCGGGTCCAGGGCCGTTTCATATGGTTTTTTTCATCTCGGCACCACTAACCGCCTCCACTTTGATTGTAATGGTCTGCCTCCTATTCGTAAACCCTCCCCTCAATGATGGCTTCCCTTCCTGAAGAACAGTCCTCCCCCCTCTACTCCAATGACAGATTCGTCCTTGACTAGTCGACTTTGATGAGGAGAACTTGAGTACACTTTTACTTGTAGTTAATTGATATACAACTCGAAAATTCACTCGAGAGAGGATTCACAGCCTAACAACCTATACAGTTGCTTAACAGTATCAGCGCGCACAAAAGTGAGGCACGTGGCACGTTTCAGCACCCAATTGCCCGTTTACAGTTCTACCAAACTAGTCATCCACGATCTGGGAGAGGAATTTCTTTTTGCTCCTTCTTATTCCCACGGCGAAGATGTGAATCCTTTCACAGTGGAAGGAGCATTGAAAGTTATCAGGAAGAAAACAGTTAAGATGGATGGAGATTTCATATAGACTAGTTACAGTACTTTCGTTGCTGAATGAAAAGCAAAGTCAAAAGCAGCTTACGAACTCATCTGACAACCTTACTAGTCACCTGTCAAGTAGACAACTGTCAATCCAAATAAAGGGATCTTCTTCTTGATTCTCTTAAGAATGTTTTTGCTGTCATAATTCCGTCAAAATGCTGATGCATGCGAAGCTTCATTGTCCATTATGAACGAGTTTTGTTATGAGCATCAGCTGTATATGACTCGCACGCATCTTGCGAATTTTGTAGATAACCGAGACTAAGCCGTGGAGTAGTTAAACTGGTACTAGTTTTCACTCCTACTTGCAACGGTGTAGAGGGCATGCTGCACGAATTCCTTGGATTCGTTTTTATTTTCCTGTTATTCACCTGGAAAATAGTGCTTTTTTGAGAAAGCAGTTGCAGGTAAAACAGTCCGTTGCTACGTGTTTTCATTTTTCAGGGCGATACGCCAAAAAGACCGATGCGCAGCATTAATGCTGTGGGATCGTCGGGTCAGGTAAACACGTCAAGCATTTGTTCACTTTCAAACATTTTATCTTATTCCATTTCTTTCAGTACGATATTGTGAAGCGCCCTCGTAGATTATTCAGCGCGGAAATTAAATCAGAAGAAGGAAGCATGAGGGATGGAAGTAGCAGTGCAAGTGCTGAACATGCAAACGATGATGGTTGTCGACCAAGTAGTTCGTCAACACGCTTTAATGGACATCCTGAAGCCTATATGGAGGAAGCAGAATCTGATACATCTTCGATGGTTCCCTACAGCGAAGCGAATAGTGACTCATCAATTGATCTCACCTATAATAGCCTGCCTCTTGAACATCACATGCGATATGATCCTGTTGAAGGGACCACTCAGTCAATCACTTATCATAACATGACTACGGCCTTGTACGATGGAGCAGTTAGCTACAGTGACAATTCCGATCGAGCCCCAAGTTACGAGAATTTGGTTAACACTGTCTACGACTCTTCTCTTGTTACAGTCCAGCCGTTAGACTACAGTGATGAAAAGATCACCGTGAGATCCACATCTTACATGGACAGCACTATCCTGCCTATTAATCGTGCGTTATTTCATGGAACAGGAGAAAGCTCTGCAATTTACACAAACGCAGCCACCTATGCGAATACTTCAGTAACCATGAGCTACAATGAGAATCTCAATCCTGCTTCTGTGCTGGATTATCCGGAAGATATTGCCGTGATGCCCGTGAGTTTCCCGGCAATCACACCAGCAGTGCTCAAGGGCTGTCCTGACAAGACCCCGGACAAAAGCGAAACTTCAAAGTCCCCTACCGAGCTCTGCGACAGCAAAGAAACGGTGGCGTCTACAGTTGTGTGCAGTAGGTATTCCCGCGATGTCATCTGGCGAGGGACATACATCCCCTATCAAGGAGCTCAGCAAGCAAAAAACCCCGTCAAAGACATCCAGTAATGGTTTGCCTCCTCCAAACTATATTCCGTATAGAATGATTGCCGTTGAAAACACAAAGCCAGTTGAGGTGATTGCCGTCGACTCATCCGGGTAAGTTTTTCACTCTTCATTTTTAATTTCAATATTTCATTTCCTCTTATTCTCTTTACATTAGCATTAATACTTGCAGTTGCTCAAAATTTTTGATTTGTTGTGTGGGCAGAAGCAACTTATGGGTTATGGTATTTTGTTTTCGCATGCACAGCAACTAAGCTCTATTCTGAGGTTACGTCTTCATGAGCGACAAATAGAGTATTCCCATACAGTCATAAGGTTTCTTAAAGTGCAAAAAAATATTTCGTATTGAGTGTTTTTGTTGGAATGCTAGCCCTTTATTTACTGCAGTGCTATCGTTTTTGCCTCTCAAACAGTGACAATGAGCTTTGCCTCGTGTTTCAAGTGGGAATCAACACCTGCCCTCCGGCGTTCAAGGCGATAGACCTGAGATACAGCATCAGGCGAAAGTATGTGAGGCTTCACTTTTGAGATTTATTTAAACACTTTTCATGGTTCTTGCTCGAATTTAAGTATGTTTGGAAGTAAGCGTTCTACTTAACCGGCATATCATTGTTGAATTGAGACTGAAGATTGAAAAAATATTCTACTGGAAATTCATGTTAATGACCAAACTAAATCGAATAATAGTAAATGCTTACTATGTTTTGTTGCGAAGTTGCTAAGTTTGTTGAGTCATAAGCATTCTAGGTTTCTTCTTGAAATTTACGCGAAATTATTCATTATCGCGAAGTTTAAATTATATTCGACGAAGGTTTTCGTATTTATATAGAAACAACTACTCGCATAACTTGTCAAAATTTGAGCGAGGTCCACGAAGTATGAAGGGCTGTAAGCGGAAAGCGGAATCGCGAATTGTAGGTTCCCTGAGCTTCATAATTTCGATGTAGGATATGTGTGAATCGAAGACTCTTTGTCATAAAACTTGACTGATAACGTTTCGGGCTTAAGCCCTTCTACTAGAATGCGATGAATTGAGCTCGTATAACCGCGAGTTCTTCCTCGTCGTCCGTTTTCGTCTACATGGGGTGAAACTTGAACCCAATGGTAGCCAAGACAGAATTTCAAGGAAAACTGTCGTCAACTTTTTTGTTTGGAATGACTGGATTCAGTAGCAGTAGGTAGTGTAACTGCTCAAGGATGGTTTCGTGGATGTCTGAGGCAGATCCTTTTTGTCCGTATTCAGAAAGAATAATAATTATCCAGCGAAAAGCTCTAATTTGATGTAGAATTAGATGGAAAATGAATGCTGTAGAATTATTGAATAGGTCGATATTGAAGCTGAAAGAGTGCACGAAACGGCGCTGTTCCAAAGAAACACTAAAATCTCGTTTTGGAAAGGTATGGGATGAAACTCAAAAGGATACCATGTGAGCAAGGGTTGGTTGCTGTAGTGTCCGTTTGAAAAAAAAACTGTCAAGTTCTTGGGCTATTTTGAATGAGAAATGTTAACATTTGTTTGGTAGTGTAGTAATACGTTGCTATGGTTTATAACCCGTTTCTACCTTTGTGGTTCGTGGTGGGCAACAATTGCTTTGTATTTATGCCCCACCCTGTACTTTAAATACGCTACCGATTGATTTTAGCAGTAGTGTTGTTTCAAAACCCTGAGTTGTCAATTCTTTTCAGTGATGAAGTTTCTTCTCCCAAGCCATTGCCAAAACGTCGTCGTAAGTACAAATATGTGGTCGAGAGCGTCCTCGACAATGTGCCGTACACATTTCGCCAAGCTGAATCTGATGACGACGAGTCCACCGAGAAGCATAGCGTCTCAGCAAATGAATCGCATGAATAACAGAGTGCAACTCGTTTTTTACCATGAACATTCCGATCCGTAAGATCATTCCCGGTTTTCTCCATACTGGTCAATTCTAGTTGCTGTTAATTTCGTAAGTTGTTATTCGTGTTGTTATTTTGTCCTTCTGTCATTCATCCACTCTCCTACATCTGCTCAAGATGAACATACACATTTCGTACTTATTCTCTAAGCCAGTATGAAGTACATTTATTGTTTTTGTCTCATTGTTAGGTACCTATTATATTTGGATCTCTGAAATCTGAAGAAGTCGATCTCCCTTTCTGTTATGGGTTGTTCTATAATCTACATCAAAAAAGAAGAATTCGAATTTATTTTTTCTTATTAAAATCTTCTATACAAATTAGAGTGTTTCCGTTTGGTTTTGCATACATAAAACTTTTACAAATGGTGTCGTTCTTTTCAGTGTTGTGTTACAACACCCTCATCATTGTAAATGATTGCTTTATTGTCCATTAAATGTACGGCCATACACAAATATTTAATGTTCACCATTACGAAATACATAGTAGTAGTTGAACACACTGAATGAGATTAAATGAATGAGAATTAGATATAACGGGAGAACACAACGCCATGAAATCTTTGAAATGATGGTTACATACATACATACAGCACACACAAGTAGTAACGGGTCACACACACTGACACACACACAACTGGTAGTAGTAGCAGTTTACGGATGAAGGAATCACCAATGCCTTTAACGACAACACGAACGAACGCTTTAAGCACGTTCGCCTCGGATACGACGAGCTAGCTGGATGTCTTTGGGCATGATTGTGACGCGCTTCGCGTGAATAGCGCACAGATTGGTGTCTTCGAACAGACCAACAAGGTAAGCTTCAGAGGCCTCCTGAAAAATAAACAGTTATTACAAATTTATTTGCTCATTCAGCGTCACAAATTATAAATTAAAGGCTGTACCAGCGCTCATGTCCTCGGAGGAAGGAGGATATCCAAAAGAGTGAGCCAATTACTGTGCTTGGGACTAAGCCCTAGGGAGGGGAAAGGATCCTAGGGGAGCACATGAGCAATTTGCGTTCTCCCTGGCGTTTCTTCCTATTTTGGCTTAGTCCTAGCCTCACCTACCGTCGGCCCAGTTTTGAATACCCACCCGGGGGACATGAACACCGGGTACCTAGAGACAGGAAGAGCCTTCGCCAGGTGTGAAATGGCACAAAATAATGGGTCAGCGGACTATAGGACCACTCTGTTTCGGTGTGGGACACTCCAACTACTGATCGCGTTTTTTCGAGGAATTTTTTTTTTCAAATTTAAGATAAAACTTTTGAAATTCCATACCTGAAGAGCACCAATAGCAGCAGACTGGAAACGGAGATCGGTCTTGAAATCTTGAGCGATTTCACGGACCAGACGCTGGAACGGCAGTTTGCGGATGAGCAGCTCGGTCGACTTCTGGTAACGACGGATCTCACGAAGAGCGACGGTTCCCGGGCGATAACGATGAGGCTTCTTCACACCACCAGTTGACGGGGCAGATTTTCGCGCCGCCTAAAAAATCCAAATCATTTCCGGAAAATTGAAAAAAAAAATCAGTGGTCTCTGGACAGCAATATTTGGAAACGCGAAAGCTAAAGCTTCAATTACTTACCTTGGTGGCAAGCTGCTTACGAGGAGCTTTTCCTCCAGTGGATTTACGGGCGGTCTGCTTAGTACGAGCCATTTCTGTAATTGTTTTTTAAAATATTGGAGTTCGTGACGTAACAAGAAACGACGGACGGGCAGCGTTTTGGAAGTTCAATCCGAAAAGAAACACAGTAAACAAGTGGCTCGTAACAACTGATATGAAAGCGAGGATTCCAGGGGAAGGGCTGCGTGATTAATAATACGCTATAAAGGGATGCGTTAGGAATCCTTCATTGTGGCAGAGAGTAAATAGGGTATTACCACCATGTGACACCAAAGGAGTATCTCAGCATACACAACAAAATGCAGGAGGCCGGCAGTGAAGCGTGACGCGGCAGCGAGAGTGCCAGCGGCGCGGGGCCCCCCCCCCCCCCCCCCCCCCCCCCCCCCCCCCCCCCCCCCCCCCCCCCCCCCCCCCCCCCCCCCCCCCCCCCGCGATCGATAACCCGACTGCGCACGGGCCGAGCCCAAAAGGAACATCAGACAAACGACAACAAGGTCAAATTCAGCTCGAAGACGAGATGAGTTGGTAGGAAACAGGTAGGCAAGTACAACACCAACCGTCCGAGGACACAGCAACCTCACTAATGACAGTACTGACGACGTTACTCAACTTTTATCCACATTTATAATATTGCTGCACAAGAGGCACAGGATCCGACGACATCTGTGATTGGTACTTTACGCGCGCTGTCCTCTGGTTGCTGCGCCACGATTGGCCAATTTGCGCTCAGTGGCCCGCCTTCCGACTACGCGCCGCATGAAGAATTCATCCGCGCACAATGATTGAACACATGGCGTCAATTTCAGTTGGATACTAGCCAAAACAAATACGATGGAATTATTCTGACCTGTTTCACATAAATTAGGCACTTTCGCAGTGTCAAAGTTATTGCGCAGTCAAGATTATCAGAAGTCAAACCTACAGTGCTACAAAAAGTTAATAATAAACGATTAACAACAGGAAAATCGAAGTTTCGAAGTAAGCGAGAACAAGTAACGGGTTCGCGGCAGTAAAACATGACTGGACAAACTGAGTGAACACAACTGAGCTGAAAACGACTGTATAAATTTATTGGAATATTGCCAGCTAACAAAACTCGGCTATGTGGCGTTGACGTCGCGATCGAACAGGTCACCTAGGATTGCGTCGATCAATACACATGGGGTGGTGTGGTCCCCACAACGACTGGCTGAGCTGCAACTTGTTTTTCGTTCCACCCAAAATTCACTAGTGGGACATCTTTTCAGACGACAGGCTAACCAAGTATGCTAATCGGGCTCAAAATTGTCAACTTTTCTTTCCTCCGAAAAAGTATGATGTACACACGCGCCCGCAGAAAAATAGATGTGGTCAGGTTCCAAAGAGGTGAAGTGGAACGGATGTAAGATTGACCTATGCTACCCCTGCTGGACGCATTATATGTGGGGCCGTGCTAGGCTGTGCACGGATGTGAGCAAGCCATAATTGACTCCTCTACCCTCCTCAAACTCCAGAGAGCGTCCGCCTTAGGGATTTGCTGCAGGCGCTCACACCTCCACACAATCCGATTCATGGGAGTGAAATGAATGAGATAAATGTCATGAGAAAGTGAACGAAAAGCTTTCCTGACGTGATTGCTGACTCAGTCGATAATCAGTACAAGAACGCATTAAAAAAGATGTTTTCGACAACCTCGACAAAAAGTGAAAAAAATGAAATGGACGAGGATTCAGACAAGGGTACTGCATAAAGTTTCAGCTTGAGCGATCAGAAAACACTATCCTATCTCGTGTGTGTTCGCACGTGCCTCCAGCTTACGCGTCAATCGGATCGAAGGGATGGTGTACACTACTTTCGGAAAGTAAGTATCTATCTGAAATAGACCGTCTATTCCGAAATCTATGAACAAAGTGGAATCCATGTCTGATAGACTGTAAATGCGAAAACACTCTTCGGAAATGGTTCCCGCTGTGGGTGTTTAAAGGCAAAAGTCGGGCTCAATAAGGGGGTATTATGGCGATTGAAACTGAGTATAGAGATGCGAAGTGGAACGACAGTGGAGAAAAAACTGAGAAAAACCGTCGACAAGGCCGTTAACAAAACCCTCTTTCCCACTAGCAGTGAAGGAGGCTGGCTTGGGGAAAGAGGCACGTACAAACAAGTTTTCTGGAGATGTCAGTCGTTCTATCGGTTGATACGGCAATCAACCTAGCTGATTTCACACGTTATGCCAGCCACGCACCACTTCCGGAGGTGGGCGGTCCTGGATTGACCAGGCGGCCCTGGATTGAAACCGAACGCCCGGGGCCTTAACGGGGTTTTTCAAGGTGGGAAGTTGCTGCAATGTGTGCAGCTACCCACATACAACCTCCAGGCACGGGAATTACTTCTCTAGCGTGCCTGAGCCCGACCTTTGCTTTTAACCAGAAACGGTCGCGTCATTTCGCATCGCCATTGAACAGTTAAAGCAACATTTCCAGATCGAATTCTCGGTGTAAAAAGCGGTCGATAATGAAGCTGTAGATGGCGAGTTGACTGCTAATAGAAAAAAAGCAAAGAAAGACGCCGCGCGGAACCTTTAAACAGGAGATTCCCATCCTCTCCCTTGAAATGAAGGAAGGGATGGACAAGTTGTCTGAACAGGCTTTGCTTCGCCGGCACTCATTGCTGGCTCATTGCTGGCTCGTGCCAACAAGAAAAGCGGGTAGAGACATGCATCAGTACAAACAAGGAAATACAATAATTAAATGAGTCAAACTAGTAAATCCAACCAAAAAGACGCAGCTCGAAACGCGGTATATTACAACCAATCGCGCAAGGACCCAAATCCAAGCACACCATTCCACGGCTGCAAGTAGGCGTCGCAACCGTGGCCTGCTCGCCACGCCTACTTCGAGACGTTCAACTCCCTCCTAGCCACTTTCTAAGTGAAGTTTCTAGTCCAGTGACACTTCTCATGTACTTGACTAGGGCTTGTGCAACTTTCGACCCCACTAGAGTCGAAAAGTTAAAACCCTACTCGGTCAAAGGCGGTGATTACGATGGCTGGAGGGCGGCGCGGTTCTGACTGATGACGCCGTTGAGCGTCATTGGTGGACTATACCCCCAATCACTCTGGGGATGTGGCTGGACCACCTATTAACGCTCTTCCACAAATGACGTTAAATGAGGTCACGCACGCCTTCAACTATCGTGATCACCGCCTTCAAGTTTCTGAATGATACTGTAACAGGATCACCTATGAATGAACTTGTTCAGATTATGGAGGCAAGCCTCTCGTGAACGCTTACTTCGTGTTCAGCAGAAATGGACAGCATTTTGCGTGGTCGGTGACTGATAACGTATGGCTGTCCGTTGCGAGGGACATGAGGAGTATCTCTCCCGTCGAAAGTGTATAGAAGTGGCGGAGATGGCGGTTAGAGCTTTTACTGAATATCTGATTCAGTGATTCGAGAGAAAGTACTTTGTATGCCTATCCCATTTTGGTCACATACCTATCCTTCTATTTACCATGAGAATAAATCATCGAAGGATAGAACCGAACCATTTTCATGGTGAAAATAAGAAGACATGGGCATCCATTGCTATTTGTGCGTTTTCTCGTGACATGCGCTTTATCCGCTTTATAAAAGCTCAGCTACTGAAGAGAAGATGGATCACGTAGATAATCCTTAAAACATCTAAAACAAGCATCCACAGCTCACAGTCGCGTCACATACCAACTGAAGGTTTATGGGATTAGTCAAGGGCTCAATAAATCAAGTTTACGCTCATGGTCAGGTCTTTGTGTATCTCCGTGAGCCATTGAGAAAGTATAAGAATTCGTCGTCTCCACAAAACGCGTACGAATGAGCTGCACTACTTGGATGTGCCATGGACGAGCCTTAGCCTACAGGAGCTCCCTATTTACAATGGCTTCTTGGCCTCTTTCATTCATTCGGAAAAATGTCATCGAGCTCTAGTACGAGAGAGTGATTTCAGTATGTTGACGGGCGCATAAGCCATATGGCCCACACCGTGCAGTCCACATTGGTCCACAGGGCCATATGGGGCCCCGTTCATGCCATAGTTTTCGCGCAAGCGTTGCATCTTCCTAAGTTTTTCTGGGTTATTTTGGGGAGCATGCTAATCATAATCGTAAACCTCTGGCCATAGAATTTTCAGAGAAGCCTTAGTTTAGCAAAGGTCTTCTGAGCCATACCTAAATTTCAGTTCACTTCATTCCTCGCTTTCTTTTGTTATCATAGAAATGGAAATGAGAAGAGGATACCTACGTCCTTGGTGGGGGCCACGTGGTGCTGCGGTGATAACAGCCTCTACGATTAGGTATGCTAAGGGAGGGTCTCTGGAGAAAAAAAGCTGCTTTCTGGAGGCCTTTCACCTCCAACTTTTGTCCTTAAACTGAACAACCTTTATCCTGAGCCATCTGCGCAGAGAGCGCAATCAGTATTTTGCGGGTTGAATTCTGAAGAAATTGTTAGAATTTCCATATGCTGACGCTGCTAATCGCTGAACTCACGCCGGATACACCGAAAAAATAAGAACGATTTTCCGGCAGATTGGTGAGAAATTTTTCCAAACACGAGCATCTCGCTGTTTACGTGAGATCGTAAGTAGTGATGGGCTAAAGCTACATTCGCTGGACAAAGCACAACAAGGAAGTCGTATTTGGCACACGAAGATGTCAATGCATTGGTACATTGATCCCTGCGGATACGACCTCCCCCCACACGGTGGGGGGAGAGGTCGTATCCGCAGGGATCAATGTAGCAATGCATTGACATCTTCGTGGATGTCGAGATATGTAGTTAACGCTGTAAGGGTCCAAAATGTGTCAAAGAAGCGTGACTGGCCGAAACCGCAATGGAAATGGCAAAATGTTGGACGAAAAAAGGCTTTCGCAACAGTGGCCGGGAGGTATTATGACCTTCAAATACTTCCGCGGAAAAAACGAGTGCACGGCCTATCTTAGAGGGGTTCAGGCAAATCGGTCTGTACGTGAATTTCGCCAAGCACAAATATTGCTCTTCAAGAAACTTTCTACTTTGGATCGT